CCTTGATGCCTTGTACGAAGGCCAAGGGACAAGAATGCGATGAGTTGTAGATGGGTGTACAAAGTGAAATATAAACCTGATGGGAGCATGGAAATGTTTAAGGGAAGACTAGTGTTGAGAGGATTTAACCAATGGCATGGCTTGGACTATGAGGAAACCTTTAGTCCGGTTGTTAAAATTGTTATGGTAAGGGTTGTTTTATCCTTGCCCACATGCACGATTGGTCACTTTATCAATTGCACAATTGGTCACTTTATCAATGGGATGTTAAAGATGTTTCCTTGCATTGGGATGTAAAGGAGGAAGAATATATGGAACCACCTGGGTTCAATGAAGCAAACCCAGTTGATTACGTTTGTAAGTTAAAGAGATCTATATATGGGCTGAGGCAGGCATCCAGAACCTGGTTCCGTAGTTTTTATGATGCATTAAAGAGGAGAGTTTTTATCGATCAGCCAATGATAGTTCTCCGTTTCTTTTGAAAGGTCAGAAAGGCCCCATTGTTATCTTATTATACATGGATGACATTAGTGTTATAGGAAGCAATATGAGGATGATAAATGAAACAATGGCTTGGGGCCTTGGCGGTAGTATTGCTGAGATTCATGATGAGGTCTCCGACTCCATTCTCACCAAAGGGTAGGGGCCCAAATCCCTGCTGACTTACCTCTTTTTACTCCATTCTTACCAAAGGGTAGGGGCCCAAATCCCTATTGACTTACCACTTTTTTCCTCCATTGACTTACCCAAAAAAAAAAAATGAAATAAAGGAGTTCCTCAAAATGGAGGACTCGAGAATTCAGGTATTTCCTAGGAATTGAAGTGGATCGCTCTTGTAATGAGATTTGCATAACAACAAAAATATGCTTCAGATATGCTAGAGAATGGCAACATGTTGAGTTGTAAACCTTGTCGCACTCTAGTAGCTTTAAATAGAAGATTACGTGCTGATCAAGGAGGCCCACTATTAGAGCCAGAAAAACACAAAAGTATGGCATGGGCGTTATAGTATTTGACTCTTACATGCCAAATATTTCATATGCTGTTAACCATCTATGTCAGTACATGCATGTGCCAACCACTGTACATATGGAGGCATTGAAAGGATTATGAGGTATGTGAGAGGTTCCATTGGCAGTGGTTTGTTTTGTAAGAAAAATAAACAAGTAAGTCTGGATTTGGGGCTTGTAATTGGATATTCAGATGCAGATTGGGCAGGAGAAATATCTCTTCTTTGCAGGAGAGGGATGGATGCTGGTTATGAAAGCTATTGGCTTTTTTGTTTTTGTTTCGTTCTTTGGAAAGGGATAACCATTATTCATTCCTGAGTTCCACAGAAGATCTGCCGAGTGTTGCAAATCAATGGAAATATTGTATCTTAAACCCAATAAACTTATTTTCTTTTGTTTCCTAGAGGTATCATATAGCCGAGTTTATGTTGCTAATAAGTGATGAATTCTATCCATGTAGGCAATGAAGTCCGTGTGAGCTTTTATTTTGACAGATAACATACTGAATTCCACAATCTATGATGCATGCATAAAAGAAAATGGGTGTCAATTACCTGTTTGACATTTGCAACATAGGAAATATCACCAAATACTGATCGTACAACATATCTGGATATCATATTCACATACCTCACCTTTCAATGCACATTAGAACATTCAATAAGGATTAAGATTACTAGGGAATCTGGATAGCATGCTAATATGTGTCGATCCCAAATTGGTACTCTGTGATCTGTACAAACCATAAGGTCCATTGTTGTCATTCCACCATTATGTATCTGTGGTTGAGGTGTATATAGCACTCTTTGGGTACTGCATCTTGAAATCTGAGAGTTGTGACTGTCATTTCATTACTGCACTCTCAACTAAGTTTACACTCTTGCCTTTTGATGATTGAGCACATGAACTTCTGCACTTCTTGCTCAATATGGCACTCTATGGTGGTTATATATATTTTCTTTACTTCCTCATTACTGAGCTCCATTTATGAGTTGATATCCACTTAGATTAAGTTGTGATGCTCATGCCATCCATGCTGCATGTTAGAATTATGGTGGTATTCACCAATCGGTTTAGCCCCTTGACTAAATGCCAATGTTCTGACCAAATACTGCAATAAAGATAAACCTAATGATAAGTTCCCTGACATGGAATCTGAACTCCGCTGGAATATGATCTATACGTTCTTCAATACCCTTCATTCCTCTATTCTATACAAATATTTAGAGTCTTGACTAATTCCTTTTGCAGTGGAAGTAGGATATGTTATCTATGTTACATTATTAAGCTAGAGTTAAGGGGTGGACACATGTCGTGAAAATAAGAAGGGGTCTTAATTCTATAGACTGTAGGACACATTCCTCACTTTAGGGGAAGTGAAAGATTAAAATTTGTGCGTGAAGAGTAGGGAAAAGAGAATCTCCACCATTTCCTAATATCTTGTGCGTGAAGAGTAAAGATTTTAGGAAGAGAGAGAGAAACTAGAGATTTTGGGAAGAGAGTATATATTGTTTCCACATCTTATTGAGAAATAGGAGAATTTTTTTTATCCAACCCTTTCCTAAAGTTTGTGCATGAAGAGTAGAGAAAAAAGAATCTCCACCCTTTCTTAATATTTTGTGCGTGAAGAGTAGAGAGTTGAGAGAGAGAGAGAGAGAGAGAGAGAGAGAGAGAGAGAGAGAGAGAGAGTAGTTGTTACTATATATTAGTTAGTAGTAACGTAGGTAGTTACGTTTACGTTTACCTTTAGTTTTACGTTTACTTAACTTACGTACGTACCTACCGTTACC